CAAAAGAAGAGATAGGGTCCCAAAAGCCAGGAGCCAAGAAGCGAGGCAGGCCACGGAAGAAAGACCCTGAGGAGGAGTTTGAGGAGCTGCTGAGAAGAGAGCAGGAAGAACAGAAGCAGAAACGGCAGAAGGAAAAGGAGGCTGCAAAACCCCCAGGAACTGAGGAGCCCTTAAAGGAGGCCGCAGAACCCCCAGGAGTTGAGGAGCCCTTGAAGGAGGCTGCAGACCCCCAGAAGAAAGATGATGATGAAAAGGAAGGGGACTATATGACCCGGGTGGCGCCCGATGTTGAATATGAGCCCACTGAACCGGGCGAAGACCCTTTCCCACAGGTGCCAGCACCAGATGTCCCTGAAGAGCAACAGGCACAAATACAAGTGCACCGTTTGGCATTCCCCTTGCCAGACAAGAGAGGCATCACGATCTTGAATGCCCTGATCGATGCCTACCTCACCCTGAGGAGCGAAGGCATGTTTGTCAACCAGCTCCACTCCGATTTAGGAGGTGAGTTCACTGGAGCGTACATTGAAAAGTGGTGCAGGGAAAGATGCATCCTCACAACAACAACCCCAGGGGTATCCCCTCAAACCAACGGCCGAGCAGAAAGGGCCGTACAAGCAATGAAGACAGAGACGAAGAAAATCCTGCGTGGCGCGCAGGTGGGTATCGAATGGTGGCCGATTGCTGTTCGATATCTCAATGAAGTATGGAAGAGAAACAGAACAGAGGCCATTGGGGCCATCCCACCGTTCATGTCCAAAGTGCTGATCAGAAGAAGGTATTGGCGCACAAAGGACATGGAACCCAACAACGAAGAGGTTCACTACCTCGCCCCATCCTGGCGGAACTATGGGCATTGGGTACTTCGCTCAGACAACACACAAACCTTGACAAGGGCTGTCATCACCAACACCGTGGAGCCAGTCACTGAGGACACGTGGATTGCCTTAGAAGACAATCTGACTCCCTTGGATCTTCGAAGGAGAATTCGAGGAAAAGCCATGATCAGAAAGGTACAAGAGGAGAAAGATGAAGAAAGCAGGCAAGACAGGCTGAAGTGGGAAAAGGTGATACAGGAAGAGCCAGAACATGCCTTCTATGATGATGAAGAGGTTGTTGAGGCCGTACTCAGGGGGGTGAAAGCCATGCAAGAGATGGATCAAGAGGATGAAGGAGAAGTGCTCCAAACGAAAATTGTGGGCACTGCCGAGGTGGTCAAAAAGAAAGACCTTTGGCATCAGGCCATTTCCAATGAGATCAATTCACTCTTCTCAGAAAAGAAAGCGTTGAAGCTTTTGACGAAAGAGGAGAGCGACAAGTATCTCAAAGAAAGAGGAGCGATTCCACTACCTTCCAAGACCGTATTTACGGTGAAGCCAGATCCGGCTGATCGTCGGGGAAAGCGAAAATGTCGCATAGTTGCATGTGGCAACTATGAGACTGGGGGTGGAGATGAAAACTGTTTTGCGGCAGGAGCAGATGCTGCTGCCCTTAGGCTGGCGCTGGCTCTGGCCACAGTTCGCAAATGGTGCGGCATCAATGTGGACATTCGCACCGCCTTTTTGAACGCTCCCTGGAAACATGAAAAGGGGGGTGAAGATTGGTTTTTTGAAGAAGAAGGCGAAGAAGCTCCGCTGCCAATGCTTCTTAGGCCACCACCAATTTTGGTCAAACTTGGCTACTTTCCTCCCTATCAGCTCTGGGAGGTTTTGCGAGCTCTTTATGGCTTCCGGATGTCTCCGAAACTCTGGAAGGATTATAGAGATGAGGAGATGGAAAAGATGAGAGTTGGAAAGATGAGGTTGCATCAGCTTGAATCAGAGCCGAGTACATGGGCCATCCGCCAAGAAGAAGCTGGCGATTTGCAAGGGCTCATGCTCACCTATGTTGATGACATTTTGGTCCTTGCCTCAGAGGAGACTGCAGAAGCTTGGATCAGCTGCATCCAATCCAAGTGGGAAACCTCTGTCCCTGAGAAGGTGGGCTGTCAGCAAACCACCCGGTTTTTGGGTATGGAGTTGTCTCGAGATCAAAATGGAGTGTGGTGCGCCACTCAACACTCCTACACTTTGGATCTCTTGCAGAAGAACATGGGGATGGACAGACAGAAGTGGGGATTGAAGAAGATTCCCATGTCAAAGGAGGATGGAAGTTTGGATAGTGATGGTGAGGAGGATGCAGAAAAGACAGTGGAAAAGGTTCGAGAAGCACAGAGAATCGTAGGTGAGCTGACCTGGCTGGTGACCAGGTGTCGCCCCGACATCATGTACGTCATGTCCAGAATTTCCAGATGGACCACCAGACGACCTTCCAAGGTCATTGCTGCAGCGCCTCAAATCTGGAAATACCTTGCGAATTCCATCCAAGAAGGGATTCGTTTTGGAGGAAACGAAGATGGTTGCCTAGACCTCCTGGTCTACACCGACGCGGCCTATGGAAATGAAGGCCACGGATGTTCCGTGGTGATGTGGCTGGGAGCTCCAATTTTGTGGCGAAGCTCGCGCCAACAACTTCAAACCGCATCCACAGCAGAGTCGGAGCTGTTGGAGATTTTGGAAGGAGGAGTTTTGGCCGAGGCAGTCAGAGTAGTGGTAGAAGAAATTTTGGAAAGGGCAGTGCGATGTTGGCAGTACTCGGATTCTGCCTCAGCCATCGCCATAGTTGGAGGCGACAGTGCGTCCTGGAGGACGCGCCACTTGAGAAAGAGGGCTCGCTACATGAGATGGCGGGTGCTGAGTGGAGATGTCATCCTCCGACACACTCCAGGCAACGGCATGATCGCCGACCTGGGCACCAAAGCTTTGGCGGCATTGAAGTTGGAGGAGCTGAAGAAAGCCATGGGCATGACAGATAGAAAGATCAAAACAGAAAAAGAAAAGGAAGATCTCGGTGTGGTGAGAGGGCCTACCGAAGAAAAAGAAGAGAATGGCATGGTGAGAGAGCCGGCCATAGAGACGAAAGAAGCGAAAGGAGGGATAAAGTCCCCAAAAGATATGGTCAGGATGGCGATGATCATGGCCATGCTCAGCCGAGCGAGGGCCGAAGATGAAGATGGAGATGCAGGAGAGGAATCATCCATCTTCTTTGACATGATGATGGTATATACAATAGTGGTGGTGTTGGTCACGTTGGCCATTCAAAGCGGCTGGCAACGACGACTGCTCAGGGCTGAGACGGCTGTGGGATCAGATCGATCCCGCGGCGAACTCGCTCAACGGAGTGCCAGGACATCGGGTCTGATGACCGATGGTCCAACCTCCGTCCCGGGTGAGACGGTTCTGGGATTCGGTGGAGGAGACCAATCTCGGGACGAACTCCCCAGGCGAAGCAGCCAACCATCTGGGAGTGCCAGGACGTCGGGTCTAGCGTCACAGACCGATTGTCCAACCTCCCCGCCGGGTGAGACGGTTCTGGGATTTGGTGGAGGAGACCAATCTCGGGACGAACTCCCCAGGCGAAGTGGCCCACCACTAAAAGAAGAAAAGGAAGAAACACCAAAGGCTGTAAAAAGAGCCAAAAGTATGGGCCAATCTTCTGCGTCCAAACAGGACGGACAGAGGAACACCTATGGCCAACCAGCTTCAAAACTGGAAGCTCCGCTACCAGAAGATCAAACAGCCTCTGCAGGAATCCAAGAACCAGCGATTCCCAAGGCGGCAGCAGAAAAGAAAGAAGTTGCTCCGCCACCAAAAGTTTTGCAATCAAAGTCAAAAGGAAAGAAAGGTGATGAAAAGAAGCCAAATGAAACGACCTCAACAGGGATGACGCAGATCAGAACCAACCATGCTGCAGCCGAGCCAAAAGTTGCAGCTTCCTCATCCACTGGCACTGGTGCTCAGATCCCTACGGATCCATCTTCCAGTGCTGACCCATCGATTGACCTGTACTTTACAGGCCTTGGAAAGAAATATCACTTCCGAAAGGATTGCTATGGGTTGAGAAATTCACAGATGGTGCGGCACACCGATATCTGTGAGCAGTGTGTTCCTCAACTTCGCGGATGGCATCCTCGAGGGAGAGACATGTATGGAGCGGGATTGAATGGACCCCAGCACACCGATGTGACTCACTGCGAAAAAATGCATGGATATTCCATTGCGTATCAGCCGTGTAATTGGTGTGCGAGGCCAAATGAAAGCGAAAAGTGAAAAAAGGTGCGATGACATGCAAAGTGAAAAATTTTGGAAAAGAAGAGCGGAAAAAGAACATCTGAGAGAGGGCTTGAGCTTTGAATGTAACACTGTCGTGCAGATGGTGTGAGATATATTTTGCTTTTTTCGTGTGACTGTGCCTCTAGCGAAACACAGTCAGGGGGTGTGCGAATTGCATATTCCCTATTTAGCATTCATGTCATGACTTTGCAATTGTCATTTCGATCAATGGGCATTTCACCATAGCCCTTTTTCCAAGCTCAAAGATCGGTCGGAAGACCGGTGAATCCAACGTGAAGGACTTTGGAAAGAGAGTTAAAAGCGCAGGACCACTTGTCTGACCGTGGAGGACTTTGTGTGTCTAACGCAAGGAGTTTGAGGTGTGGACTAGTACCTGGCTTTTCTGGCCGCAGACGTGTCAGGACTGTCAGTGCTAGTACCCCCGATAATATTACCCGGGTGAACCTGTCGCGAACAGTTTCAACCATAGTTTTGTCATTTTTGTCTTGGACCAACTCATTGAGAATGTTATTTAAAAACTGCAAACTCTCCGGCTAACTCTCTGGCTAACTCTCTGAAAAATATGCGTTGCCCTTATTGGTGTTGGTTGGCGGTGCATTCTTTTCTGCTTGTATGCTTGCAACATCTTGCTACCAAAGACGTGATTTGTTTCACTGATGCTGATGCTTGCTTTTTGTTTTGTGCTATTGACAGTGAGAGAACAATCTCCAAACCATGTTCATACTATACAAACAAGTGTGATACAATGTGTTACAATAAGTGATCAGAAATGCAGAGTAGCCAAATTCCCCTGTAAAGTGTATGGCTGAAACCACCGATCCGTTTTTAATGCAGCGCCAGGATTTCTTTGACCACGATGCTTTTCGCCCAGAGCAGGAGAAGGTGTTGAGGAGTGCCTTGAATCGTCAGGAGACGCTGCGAACGGCCTAAAACATGAAGGCAGTGTATCCCCCGAATCCCCATGCTTAATCCTCATTTTCCCCATGCAAAGTAATTCATGTGGGTAAAACAATGCCATTTGCACTGTCCCCCAGTCAGCATTTTTTATAGCTGGGATTGAAACCATTCCCAAATGGGTGGTTGATCAAATGAAGATCTCACCTGATCGTTGGCTCCATTTTGGGATGCTACACTAAAAGTGACCAACAAAGAATTTTTTACCGCCGATATAGACCCTGCATTTACCACAATTTACCTATTTAACATGCATGTATAGAGTGTTGACCTCAAGATTTTGCTGCTTTGACCCATTTTTATCAGGGATTTGTTGTCTTCCATGTATTCCACCGCGGAATTTCCAGGACTCTGAGATCTACTGGCCCACAGCTGCCGGCAAATCCTTGATCTACCAATTATTCGCCCTTCTCAGCTGGCAACGGAAGCGAGGAATTGTCCTGGTGGTGGAGCCGACCATTCCGGTCTTGCAGGAGGGGCTGTAGGTTGAGCTAAGGGTAGGGGTTGAGTTGGGATTTGGATCATTTTGGATCCACATCCAATGACGTTGGCATGCCAGGACCAAGTCCAGAAATTCAATGCCAGGGCAGAGGAATTTCATCGCACACATGGCGATGATGAAGATGCACCATTCCAAGCATGTCTGTTGGGATCTGCACAGAAAGATGAGAAGATCATTGACCAGGCAGTGCGAGGGCAATGCTGCTGCTCAGCACAAAAAATGGCGACTGCAAGTTGGTGGATGTTGGTGGCTTCAAATGCAATGAGTTGTCATACCTTGTGTGTAATTGTTGGGATTGTCTGTTTGTGTATATGTGGACACCTGGCAAATGACCACTAGTATGAAGTATGAAGTCCTTCGACACAACCCAGCGCAAGATATAGCACTGCAAGTCTTGCTTTGCTGCCACGATTGAAATCACTTCAGCTATCTCATGAAGCAAAGTCATTGTTGCTTGTAAATCTTGTCATTTGTGTGTTGCAGTGGGCAGCCAAGACTGACAAGCAGCCAAAAGCATCCAAGAGCCACGACCAAACCAGCCATGGCCATAGACTGAGGTTTAGTCTATCTGTGCCCGGAATCGTTGACACAGAAGTATTTGGAGGCGCAACGCTTTCGATGTGTCTTTCATTTTGAAACCATGGCTCCAGATTTTGAGACCCCAAGTGCAAGTGAATTGCAACATCCTCAGCTTGAGCAACATGGTGTGAGACCCTTGGGAAGGCGATAAAGCAGACATGTTAATTAATCCCTTCCCCGCTCATATTAAACCCCTCCCTTAACCAAACCGCATATTTGGGACCATACAATGGGGGTGTTCAATACTATAGTGGAATGGGATTATGTTACATTATGTTTCAATGGTTGATTATGATTTGTATTGACATCTGAATTTGTTTGATGGTTCGCAACTAGACAGGTGCCCAATGTCTATCCATGGCATCGTTGTGAGGCCTTCTTTCATTTGCGTGATCGATCTTTGGCAGCACGTAGAAAAAGTCACGATTGCTTCATATTGCTTCATGTAGTTGCAAGGCGGCAAGGCACATGCTTTCAATATGTTTCAATATGTTTCAATTCAAAAATGGTCTGGATAAATTTGGGGGTACTTCCATTTTAGGAACCCCCCATATCTAGGCTATGGTCCACCGTGTGCCCGGGCCCGCGGAAGCCCTAGTCTTGGGCTATCGGGCCCGCGCTAGTCCTTAAGCCCGTGCAACACTAGAGACCGGCAACAGCAATGCAAAGTGATGAAAACATTCGCACATTTTGAGACATTCTGAGCAAATTTGAAGAATTTTGAGCATTTTGGAGCCGTTTTTGTGGACCAGCTTGGGTCTTTCCGAGCAAATTTCAAACAATTTTGAGCATTTTTGTCGGGCAAGTTGGGGTCATGTCGAGCAATTCTGAGCAATTTTTGGAAGCACGATATGGCATTGTTGACCTGAGACAGTGTTCAAGATGTCTCAGTTGAGGCTGCTTTGAGACATCTTACTTTAGCTGAAAAAGGTAGCTGATGTAAACCCCACGGATCTAGACCCTAAAAGGTAAGGGCGCCTCTAAGAGGCCGTGTGTTTCAGCACATGGATATGTTTCTATTCAATTATGTTCCAATGTTTTGCCACAACGAGAGCGGTTTTTCACAGATATCTATATTTTGTGGGTGTATCAAAAGTCATGGAAGGGTATGGAAAAATGAGAGTCACGGTGTGATTTTAATGGTTTTTGTGGGACGAAAGCCATCAGCTTGGAAAAGACAGCGTTACGCGTTTTCTTCTGCGTTGCCGACGTCTTTGTTTCAGCCGCTTTTGCGGCCAAGTATCATCAACGTATCATCAACGCATGATCAACGTAACATCAACGTATCCACAGCGCATGATCAACGTATCATCAACGCATGATCAACGTAACGTCAACGTATCAACAGCGCATGATCAACGTATCATCAACGCATGATCAACCTAACGTCAACGTATCATCCACGTACCATCAACCTAGCATCAACGTATCAACAGCGCATGATCAATGTATCATCAGCGTATCATCCACGTCGCATCACCTTGCACGCAAGAGATACATGAACGTTATTGCACCCCCCCACCCCACCCAACCGCAACAGTAGCATCAACGTCTCCTCAACGTAGCATCAAAGTATGATCAACGTAACATCAACGTAGCATCCACGTCGCATCAACTTGCACGCAAGAGACATGAATGATATTGCACCCCCCCACCCCACCCCACCCCACCCCACCCCACCCCAACAGTAGCATCAACATCTCCTCAACGTAGAATCAACGTATGATCAACGTAACATCAGCGCAGCATCCACGCTGCATCACCTTGCACACAAGAGACATGAACGTTATTGCAACTACCTGCCACCCCACCCCACCCCAAAAACCTCAAAAAAGCACGGCCTCTTAGAGGCGCCCATACCTAAAACGAGACCAGTGAGTATTATAAAATAGCCTCTGGAGAAGTATTATGAAATATATTGAAATATTAGTTTTTTCAAATGGGTTCAATTGGACAAACCTTGCGGTGCCAGCATCCTGGGGTCATCAATTTGTGAGGATCCCACCCAAAAGTGCACTGAAAAAATGGCGTTGTAGGCGTAGGCTGGGATTTTGTGAATGCAAGGTCTGATTTGACCCATGTGATTTTGTAGAGCCCGAACTGACCTCTACTTTGCATGACGGCGCTCATGAATCGCTTTTCTGTGATTGTACAGAAACTTGGAGTTTTGGAGGGAGCAACAGGCAAGGGTTCAGTCCACACGGAGAGGTTAAGATGATTTAAGTTCACTCATTTTTTGAATCTTTGGAACTTCATACCGCGTGACCATGCCCTTTGATTGAATAAAACACCATAGCGGACAGGGACTGTGCTGCCTGTATCGTGCTTCCATGTGCTTTTTTCACTTTGTTAGTGTTGTCCCTTCACCTGCATGTTCCGGGTTGTGAGATTCTATGTCAGCCACTCCTCTCCTCCTTCTTGTCCTCCTCGCCGCGCCTGACCTCAACCGCAAAACCCGGATCAGAGTGGTGCCCGCCGGACCTGGATCACAAGCGCCTGGGTGAGATAGAATGCCACACTGAAAGTGAGAAGACACAATAGCCACGTATGCCAGAAAGAATTCCAAAAGAGATGCCATAGCATGGCAGCCTTGAATTGTCAGAAGTTATGCCAGATAGACACATATGCCAGATAGCACGCCAAAAGATATGCCAGAAAGAACGCGCGGGTCCGACTATGTCAGTTTATGCCAGAATATATTTGAAAATATTTGTTGGATTGCCAGAATAAATACCGGAAAAGATTTGCTAGACACAGATGCCAGACAGAATGCAAGAAGATATAGACGATAAAATGCTGACCTGAAAACCCTCGGGCCCGCGCGGAGAGCCCGCGAAGGTCCCGCGGAGGCCCGCGAGCCCGCGGGCCCGCGCAAGTCTTGGGCTATCAGGGGACCTATGTCCATATCTATCCATATCTTTGATAGTTTCAAATCCATTCACCTCCTGTGCGATGTTCCCTCTCCCAGGTGAGCGTGTCTCGATGTTCGCGGTGGATGAAGCGTGTTATATTCTTCTCTGGGGTCAGAGCTTTCGCCCAGCTTTTCAAGATTTGTCGTGGCTCAGGGAGGCGCCACTTGTTCGAAGACATGCTGAGAAAAGGAAATCACGGTGTTCAAATCTGGCTTTGTCTGAAAACATGGTATTCCAAAATCCCCGTGGCTTACCATCATTGAAATATATATAATATGACATACATATACATAATATAATATAATATATATATATACATATATCATTTATATGATCATTTTCCCACTACAATGACAGGATGCCAGCTGCCAGGATGCCCCATTTCTGGTGATCCACCGAGGTACGACTCCGTGCCCATCTTAGCCCTCTCGGGCACAGCGCCTCCAAAGCGTCAGAAATTCATTCGTCACTCCTTGAAGCTGCAGAATCCGCTTCGATGCTGGATCTATATCTGGAAATTCCTTGGGATAGAACTCATGGCTGGTGCTTTGAATATGTTTGAAATACATTATTTGAATTTATTTGAATTTATTTGATATATATTTGATATATTATATAATTATTAATATACCTATATATATAATATATATATATATATGTATTATACATATGCATATATATATAATATGTATATTATTTCTGATTTCTAATTTTCAATCCTACCTGGGATGCCGTAGGGATGACGGATTTAACAGGTTCCAGCTGGGAACATGTGGGGGTTTCCTAAGTCATGGGGGGCCCAAAAACACCAAGTCACTGGACCAATTTAGTATCAAGAAACTCATGGTGACCTTGGGATCCCCCACATAAGAACCCCCCATATCATGAACACATCAGAAAATCAAGTCCAAACATCCCTCCTCGGACATGGCTGTAGCTAAGGAAGTACAAGGCCGCTGGACTGGGATTTGAAGTTGCCACAGGGAAGGGCTAAGGGATCTAGTCGCATGAAGCTTGTCGTCACAGGGAAAGCAGCTTTGGTCACCTGGCAGAGACGAATACTGACATATACTGACTATCCCAGCAGCAAAGTTCCCAGTGCGAAGTGAGGGGATGTTGTAGGTCCTGTCCCTATCCGCTTCTGTGGCTACCGGTCCCAAGAGGTGACCCAGACGCTTCCCGCCAGGCCAATGTTTCGGCCAAACTTGCAGCTGCAGATGCACCGCTGCGAGACAGAACCTCATCATCCAGTCATGTGGGTGTGTCTGAAAATGGTACCCTCCAGATAACAATTCAAGAGGGAGAATGATGATCCACCAGCAAAATTTTGGAAAACCCTGTTTTCAGACAAACCCATATCAAGACATATCAAGTCACGAAAGGTAGCGTCAGCTACCTGAGTTCTCCGTGCTTCAGCACAAGCTTAGGGGGTATTGGGGGACCAGCCCGTGGAATTCATGGAATTCTCGCCGTTATGTATTGGATATCAATTATAAGGGGGGGGGAAATGGTCATGGGTTCAATTCTCACGGGTGACGCGGTCACGGGCCCCCACATTAGAGGCACACTTTCCATGAGGGAGATGTCCCTGTAGTCCAGCATAATTGGTTTGCTTCAGCTTCAATAACAGTTGCTGCAAGGGGTTTTAAAAAGGGGTTTTAAATAAACCCCTTTTCGTGCATCATTTCACGCTGCACAAGACACCGTATCATGCAGTCATGCTCTGGATAAAATCATCTTAGACTGCGCAAAAAAGTTTTTGGTGTATCATCTTAGGGGCGCAACATTTTGACACCACTCCTCTCCCACTACACTACCTTTCGTCCGCCTCCGCCTGCTCTCAAGTAATCTTTACTGCCATCATCAGCGTGATGACCATCATGAGGGTGACCGCTGTCATTGCCATTGTCATGAGCATTATGATTGTCCTTGCGATCATACGGGTAGCCAGGATCGTCCTTATCATCAACATATCATCACCATTATTCTTTTTATTCTTGATTTGTTTCATGATCCCTTATATCATATATAAAACTTATATCATTTGAAGGTCATAATCGTTCTCACCTTTATCATGATCACTATTGTGGTGTCCAATCCAATCCCGCCTGAGGGTTTCTTTGCAGCAGTTGCTTGGCGTTTGCCAAGGAGGAACGCAAGTTGCAGAAGGTTTTGGAATTGCTGGAGCATGGTGCATATCCCGTCGCTCTGCAGCATTGAAGCGGTGGTTGATAACTCACACGACAAAAATAGGCATGTTGACGACCGGGAATTTGGGCACTATTCATGTGGAGGTGTGATATTGGCCACTGTAATGGAGTTGCAAACTGGTCGATGCTTGATGACCCACTCTGGACATTTCAGAGGATCACCTTGCTGGACATCCATGGACAAATTGTAGCTGCGTCACACTGGTGGATATTCAGACAGATACTGCAAACGAAATCACTCTGTCCCCTGGACGGAATAAATGCTCCTTGACGCGGCTCAGCTCTGCCAAATGAACCTACGTGTTTGATCATTTTTGTGACGATTTGAGTTTGTTTCTTTGGGTCGTGGTGTATCATGGTGTATCATTAAAAATTCTATCATGGTGATTTCGTGGTATTCCTTCGCTCACAGGCAGTGGTGTACGTGCCCACTAAACCAGATGCAAGAAGGCGCTCGGGTCATCAAGGTTATTTTCGCACACACCCAACATCATATGGGGGGTTCCGATCCACTGTGGTACCCAAAAATCAAACATGGAGAATCCGAACATAAAATGGATATAAATGGATGATAACTAGGGCCTATACCCCCATTTTAGATATTTTAGGACACCTGACACCTCCATATTCAATACTATTTAACTATTTATAATTATAATATATATATATATATATTTATCCCATTTCCATTTCATCTCCATGATTGTTGGTTGTACAACCCAAGTTCTGGCAGCAAGCCATGCCAACCCGTTTCATCTCCAGGGTGCGGCGACGTCTCACTGAGTCTCTTGAAGAACGTACCTTGGGGGCGACAACACGGGGAATTCCATGATATTTAACGTTACATTCCATGAAATATTCCACTTTAGTTGTCCAACCTATTCCACTATGTTATTCAATCTTAAATAATAATAATAATAATAATATATAATTGTAAATAAATATATATATATATATATATTATTTACATATATTATATTATATATATGTGTTTGTATGCATGTAATGTAACGCAATGCAATGCAATTCAATGCAATGTAATGTCATGTCATGTCATGTCATGTAATGTAGTGGTGTGATGTGGTATGGTATGGTATTGTATGGTATGGTATGTATGTATGTATGTGTGCATATATATATATATATGTGGTGGACTAGTGTGGATTATACCTTGTGGTCATCACACCTGGTTTGAATGCTAGAAAACCTCCCCGTGTCACGTTCGATGATTTTCCTACTCAGAGCGGGTTGTCAGGAGCATCCCCCCTTATCAGCATTGGTCAGTGACACTGGTGCTGCGATAGTTTTTCGATACCCTCCGGCAATCAAACGTGGCTCGGAAATTCTCAATAAATGGAGGTTTCTAGCTGGGAAAATCACACATACACACACATACATACATATATATATATATATATATGTGGGTTTTCAATTGCCACGTTTTCAAGCGTCCAACTACAGGTAGACTCACTCTGACCATTGGCTACATGGATGGTGAAACGCCACCTGCATCAAGAGCATCAATTAATTTGGACACCTGGCCTATATAGCAACCTCACAAGGGCCTCAAATTAGATTATGGTCGGTACTCGTATATATTGGGAATCGTCCCTCAAATTCATGATTTGTTGTTTTCTCCGGAGCCATCAAGAAAATGTTCAGATTGATTCACGCCTGCCCCAGATTTGACCTGCCACTGCTGACTTGACATGTCTTGACTTTCGATCGATTCATTTTCTTTCGATGGCTCTGAAATCTTTATACTTTTTTTTGGTTGACCGGAGTTATGACTTGTGAGTCTTTGTGAGTTGGTTGCCCAATGTTGCCCACATTTATTCACAGAATAGCCAGCCAGTCAATACCCAGCCGCATCAGCGCCCTCCTCGTTCCAAAAATCCCCAGGACTTTCAATCGAAGGAGATCGATTTGATGGTGGCCACTGATGCGTATGGACAGGGCATTGATAAGGCCGACATCCGCTTGATCGTCCACTGGGAGCCCCCGGTGAATTTCGAGATGTAGCGAGGACGCAATGGAAGGGCCTGGAAGGGGTTCACATGGATGCACATGGTGAACCATTGTGCAATACTCCAGAAATGCTGGTTTAGATTCAGGCAACGCTGAAATATTGGTTTGGATTCAGGTTTGAGGAGCTCATGATAGCGCTATGTCGAAGGGAGTTTATGCATGTAAATGTGGTGCAATATCACGCAGAATGATACAGCAACTGCAGTTAAGCCGGACAGAACCCACCTTGATTGGAAAGAACAGGCAAATAATGAGGCAACATGGGGACCTTTAGCGGGTAAATTCAACCCCAGATTCATAACCCTCCGAAGCGGTTATAATTATGTAGGGCAGCCACAACGGGGTGCGGTGGCCTGTTGGGATCCCCATAGGCTGAAACTATTTAGAAGTAATCTGAAACGATTTTTAAAAAGGCTTGAAACTATTTATGACGTATCTGAACATATTGATAATTAATGATAATTATACGTATACCATATACCGTATATCTGAAGTTATTTCTAAAGTAGCTGATATGGATTGATCCTTTTTTTAGGGTTTATTTTGACAACAAAGAGCCCTGAAAAATCCCATTGTGGGCCTGGTTCCCCATCGTGGCAATTCGATTTTTCATTACCGCCCCAACAAACTTCTCAGGATGTTGGATATCGTGTGATATATCCCACCAGTTCTTGAGGTACTTCTGGATGAAATTTTGAACCACTTGGCAGCTGAAGAACAGCTGCCACAGAGTTATGTTTCTATTTCAGCGGATTTCTGAGCACGCTTTTTCTCTATTCCTTACGTATCTCTGTTCCAAGAAAAGTGAAAGCATTTGGCATTTGACATTCGTATGCATTCGTAATATTTTTTGAACAGAGCAGAATCGGCGCAATCAGTGTGTGTTTTTTGATAATTGTATGGCGATGAATCTATTCATTCTATGATGACGATGTTTTACTGTTTAAACTCATGATTCATCATGCCATACCACATCAGAGAAGATGAGATTGTTTTTGATTCAGATTCACGGCCATCAGATTCGAAAAGTACGAAGCTCCGGTGCCGGATGGGATTGCCGCTAAGGTATAGCCCTCAAAAAAAACAGAGCTTGGTGATTCGCGGGTAACATTGCAGTTACATGGATTTGTGTGAAAATAGTGTGCCCGGTACCTCTACATCATCATTTTCCTTATTCAACTTGCCATTTTGAGTGATATACCGGATTTTTCGGACACACCCTGGCAAACCCCAAATCACATTGCTGATATTCCAGCAGCCCCAGCATATCCGTGTATATCCCCATGATTGGAGGAATACAACATCATACCCTCTGGTAAACTAACATAGCTATGGAAAATCACCATTTTTAATGGGAAAACTCACTATAAATGGCCATTTTCAATAGCTATGTTAGTTTACCAGAGGGTACATTCCATTCCCTTCTGACCTCCGTCGAGGTATGTAAATCACATTGGTCGCGCCGGCCGCGACGGCTTCACTTCTCGATGCGTCTTGCTCTACAGCGTCTTGGCGTGACCACCAGTGGTTTTGGAAACGAAGGGTCTGCCCCTGCCCCAAAAAGGATAGGCAAGTGATATATATAGTGAGTTTGTAGTTCCAACAACTACAGGATTTATATGGATTTATGGTTTTGAACTGGGGGTGTCCTGCTGTTGGCTAAGCTTGGGTCGCCCCATCTGGGTGGTCTCTGAGGTAACAGTTGCTGGGCCCAGCTCTTCGAAAGCGGCAGATGCTTTACGAGAGAGCCTGGCAGCTCAATGGCGCCGCTGAAAAATTGGGATGCACCAATCAACCTACCATCCCAAATGGTTAAACTTAACCACATACAGCCCATTGTTGGTATGTTGTGGTCTTGTTTGGGTGTTGGGGATGGTTTATCATTGGGGCTACCAGATGATTGCTATTTTTTGGGGGGCTTTTGGAAATGCCTCAGGCTGGAGGAGATGGACGAAGAGGATCGCCAGGCAGAAGTCCACAACTCACACAGATATATGGCTTTGTCTGGGTTTGGAGTATTCAAAGTTGTTCAATCTTAAGCCGTTTTGACGCAGAAAACATCATAAGACAACGATAAAACCATGATAAAACCATGAAATTTGTGTGGTATTGTTGTTGAAACGCCCAAATATATAAACAGTTTTTTTGCCATGCGCAGAGTCTCTCGAACTGACTGTCGCCCCTTGCAGGTAGAGTTTGCCTCACGTTCGACCCTGAAAGACATGGTCACTTCGAAGAAAAGTTGCCGCTGGCGCCGGCTCCTTCGATACTACGAGTGTGAAGACGAGCTGCCCTTGGAAGGCGGAATATTGAATTTACATGCCATGGTTGGAGCTTTCCCCAAAAAGGAAGGTACCCCTTGATAATGGAACATCCTATTTATCAAAATGAATGTTGTTTTTTCTATTCTAACTCTTACTTTCAGCTATTCCTCACAGTCTCTACATCTCTGAAGATCTGCATGTTAATATGGAAATCTTGCACCAGAATCACTCCCAGAATTGTGATAGTAAATAAAAAGGGATAGCGGATGTCCCCAAATCGTATTTATTTTTCTGGGTTAAAATGATGATTAAACCCCAGGCAGATCGAAGGACAGACCGGGTGACACCGTTTTTTGCTTTGGGAAACAACGACCCCAGCAGGTAAGGAAGTAGAGCTTCACTTGGATGACCATCACGAGGTATCTCCGTCTCCCCCAAAACTTGGCCATTTCCCGCCAGGCTGCGGTTCATGTGACATTTGTCTGGGTCAATATGATCGTGGTTCGGGAGAAGGCCCGATTGCTTGGAGAAGGGGCCGCTGGAAGCATCCAAATCGAAGCGAACTGCACCATGTGAGGACAACTTTTGGATTTTATGGGAAAGACTGTTTAGACACAAGACCGACAGGATCTGAGGGGGTCTATATACTGTAATGGAAACAAATGGAATAAAATGCACTACAAGTCAATGGAATAGAATAGAATATACCCTTTGATAATCAAACATGGCTTACTGGGAAAACAAAAAAGGAAAACAAAAAAATCATTCAGTTCAATGATTTTCCCAGCTAGGCTAGCCATGTGTGATTAAAGGAGGATACCTCTCATTAACTGGAGGAGTGCAAAAACGCAAACATTGAGGGATTAACTCTCACAGCAAACAGCGATTTGGTGCTCCACAGTTACAAGTTTGTAAAGCCCGCTATCTGCAGATATGTCGAATGCATCATAAACCATAGTGAAACTGGTTCCAAACATCACTCAGCTATCGTTTTGGGATGTTTTGGGGGCATCGCCAATGTTTTGGGGGCATCGCCAAGCCTGGTATCCCAGGCGAAGATTTCAGCGTCGGTGCACGCTTGTTGTTGTCGTCCGTGCGGCTGAAAGAGCTCAGCAAAGTGGCTGCCAGGATGGATGCGACTCGGCGATGGTGATGGATTTGGCCCATCCCGGTGAAGCTTGGGGGTTCCATGAGGCTACCCCAATAGCTGGCTGGTTTATAGTGGAAAACCCACACATAAAATGGATGATTTGGGGGTACCCCCATTGTAGGAAACCTCCACATGAAGCATAATCCTCTGCACATGGGCATTTCAACATATTTGAACGAGAAAACATCGATAATTGGAGGGAGATTTTCCAGTGCCATGTTTGATTACCAGAGGGTGTTTGGGCTTGTCTCAGACTTAGAGATAAACCAGCAACAGATCGAGATATTAAGCAGCAACCATTCGGATAGGGAGATAGACCATCTAAAAATCGCAGGAAAAACAACAGGATTATTATATAATTATTATCAATATCATTATTTATTGAATTTACCCAGTTTTAGGGCGTTTAATTTTGACCAATAACCATCTCTGAGCCATTTTCACGCATAGCGGCATAGTGTGATTGCATTGAATTCTCAATTCATAATCCATAAACAACATTCTTTGAGCCAGGCGTTTGGCGTCTGAATGTGCACCGCTTCCCATCTTCTATACTTGCAGCATGCTCAGCAGCATCGGCATCCTCCTCCTCCTCCTCCTCCCCATCATCATCATCATCATCATCATCATCATCGTCATCGTCATCGTCATCGTCATCGTCATCGTCATCGTCATCATCGTCATCATCATCATCATCACCATCATCATCATCATCGCCATCATCGCCGTCATCGCCGTCATCGCCGTCATCGTCATCGTCATCCTCATCATCATTGAATCATCATCATCATCATCACCATCATCATCATCATCATCATTGAATCATCATCATTGAATCATCATCATTGAATCATCATCATTGAATCATCATCATCATCATCATCATCATCATCATCATCATCATCAACAACATCAATGAATCATCATCATCATCACCATCATCACCATCATCATCATCATTGAATCATCATCATCATTGAATCATCATCATCATCATCATCGAATCATCATCACCATCATCATCATCATCAATGAATCATCATCATCATCATCATCATCATCATCATCATCATCATCATCATCATCATCATCGTAATCATCGTCGCCATCGTCGTCGCCATCATCATCATCATCATCATCATTTTCGTCAAGATCAGTCACCATTTATCCCAACCCATCCTAAATCTTCCAGTTTGCGACCATCCCTTCCTCCCTAGTGGTAGGTGCTGGATCTGGCTCTGGGCAAGTGCGATCTCGAGCCGGAGCAGCAGGCTTGGGCAGGCTTAGGGTCCAAGGCTTCCGATGTCGAAAAATCGGGATTCATATCGCCATGTGACCATTTTACATCATTTCATTCCGGAAAATGATGATTCGCCAGTGGTCTTGGAAGGTTTGGAGGTATCCTATTCTCGGGTAAAGTATAACAGAATATAACAGAGCCATTTGGCAATTCAACTTTGGAGAAAATCATACTTGTAGTTTCTTGGGGACCTTGGGTCAAATTCCACACTAAACATCTGACAAAGTTGGTGGGATTCATGGTGCTCCAATGACAACACGACTATTTCCAATTGGGAGACTGGTATGTTCAAAACTGGGGGTGATATACTAGTGGGGTTGGTGTTGATTCAATATGGGAACCCCTGTGAATTGTATATAGCTCCAAGGTTTCTGAGAAATGGTAAGCCATCGGATCTTGAGTGAAACATGGTGAAACATTGAGGGAGCTAAGGCACTTCGATTTTCGGTGGTTCAACAGTGTACACCAGGATTTTGAGCCCCAAACAAGAAAGTGGATAACCAAAAGCGAACAAGGGATATGACCACCAGGACGGACTAATCCTTCCCCTTCAGACTGATACAATGTCAGTGGCTCCTTGATTTCTATAGCTGGTGAAAATAGATATTAGATCGAGTATCAGTTATTTAATGTTCATTACCCAAGCTGTTGGCAAGATGCGAAATGGCTCTTGGAACCAGGAGTTGCTGCAGACCATGGAAACCTTGAGGCGCGCACTGCAAAGATGGGATTTATGCGTGCCATTGGCTGCTAGTGGGTGTGCCTGAAATTGGGGTTTACTGGTATACCCCCAAATGGTTATTTTATTCGAGGAACATGATAATTCACCGTGGTTTTGAGGGTGCCCTATTCTCAGACAAACAGAAAAGTGAATCAGTAAAATGATTTAAACGGATTTAAAAGGAACAGCAACAGAAAACCCCCAGCACACTGGTCATTGGATGATTTTATTGGCATAGTTTCAGCTCATTGCTCACTGGCCAGAAGCTCACTACCTGCGAAGCAACGTCAGAAAGGACTCCGGCATTTGTGCGGTGCCAGTTTGGTGCCGTCAAGCTAGGGCACTATACATCGCATGATTTCACAACCTTTGACATGAGGAACCTGTAGTGCTTCGGAAGTGTCTTCATGTTTTCCACGTTATTAATCTGGACTTTCCCAAGTAGAATGCTATCCTACATGGCATGAAGTGAACTGTTTGTGAGTGTCCATCGAAGAACATTCGTGCTGAGATGTTTTGGTCTCACCGATGACACAGACCATCTTGCCAATCCCCAGTTGGTGCCGCAGGGATAGCACATGACGCATTTGCATGCCTTTGCATCTTTTGCATGATGTTTTTGCTACCACTAGGCTTAAGTCGTATCAATCGACCTGAAGTCGTATCACACCTGCGTGCGCGCAGTGTTTCGTATAGATTTTGATAGTTCTTTATTTGATGGGTTATTGATTCGAACACTTTTTCATCGCTGTGCGCAATGTTTTGTTGACATGGTTCTATTTGACCCTACTAGCCCTAGCGTTAAGTCGTATCAGCTCGTAGAAGTTGTATCGGAGGCCGTGCGCCTGGAAAAAGTTCAAGTTTGGCATCACCACAACTTTTAGTAATTGGACGATTTCATTGTTTTGGGGCCGTGCGCCTAGAAAAAGTTCAATTTTTGTATTGCGTTGATTTATAAAACTTATATTATATTTCATTATTCTTTCAACGGGGCAAACGCTGGTTGCTGCTTTCTGCTTGCTTTCTGCTTGCTTTCTGCGTGCTTGCTGCTTGCTTGCTGCTCCTTGCTGCTGCCTCCTGCTGCTGCTGCTGTTGCTGCTGCTGTTGCTGCTGCTGTTGCTGCTGCCTCCTGCTGCTGTTGCTGCTGCCTCCTTCTGCTGCTGCGGCTGCGGCTTCCTTCTGCTGCTGCTGCTGCCTCCTGCTGCTGCCTCCTGCTGCTGCCTCCTGCTGCTGCCTCCTGCTGCTGCCTCCTGCTGCTGCTGCTGCTGCTGCTTCCGCCTGCTACTGCTGCTGCTTCCTCCTGCTGCTGCTGCTGCTGCCTCCTGCTGCTGCTGCTGCTGCTGCCTCCTGCTGCTGCTGCTGCTTCCTCCTCCTGCTGCTGCTTCCTCCTCCTCCTCCTGCTGCTGCTGCTGCTTCCTCCTGCTGCTGCTGCCGCTGGTGCAAACATTTTGCCGAAAAAGAAAACTACAGTCTCGGTCGCCTTGTTTGGCGCTGGCGGGAGATACAGGCGGGAGACGCCAGCAGAGAGAGGGAATGTTTACAGAAGGCAGAACTTATGAAACATTCAAGCGGAAGCGGATGTTGACAGCGGTGTGCCACTGG